TACATCAACATGGTGTTATGTCTTATAATCAACATGGTGTCGCTATAAGCCAGCGCATACATGTATGCATGCATCGTGATCAAATTCTTGAATTTGCCGTAATACAGAAGTGACAGAATGGAGGTGGTTTGTGTGTGTGTGTGTGTGTGTGTGTGTGTGTGTGTGTGTGTGCGCGTGTGTGTGTGTGTGTGTGTGTGTGTGTGTGTGTGTGTGTGTGTGTGTGTGTGTGTGTGTGTGTGTGTGTGTGTGTGTGTGTGTGTGTGTGTGTGTGTGTGTGTGTGTGTGTGTGTGTGTGTGTGTGTGTGTGTGTGTGTGTGTGTGTGTGTGTGTGTGTGTGTGTGTGTGTGTGCGTGTGTGTGTATGTATGTGTGTGTGTGTGTGTGTGTGTGTGTTCATGCATTACTGAATGCTTACAGTACTTTCAATGAGCAACATGATGACATACCGATGACATAATGATGACGTAATGGAGGTCCTCACTGGATGCCTATGAGCAAAGTCTACAATGCTACGATGCTAGTGTAATGTCACTGTTGTGGCATACACTGACAATCTAGTGTATCTGACTTACAGTCTAGTGTATCTGACTTACTCTGCAACATGCTCTGTGGGACAAAGTGCTGGTTCGGATGACGCTTATCATCAAATTCTCGCCAACCGCCGTGCTGCTGACCGGCTCGAACCACACTGTCCTTGCGATCGCGATCGTGCAGCTCAAACGCCATCGGCGGGCCCAGCATAAACTCGTGCAGCAGCTCTAGAGGAATGTAACGGAGCATGACAATGCTGCCCGACTCAAAGCTGATCGTCGGGGCGTGGGGCATTTTCGATGTGCGCAGATGACTGTAGCAGGGCACTCGAAAGTGGACACAGACGTCGTTGCACCTGCGGCAGAACACGCAGAACAAAAGCAACGCGAACGGACATTGTCATAGTGTGAAGACTAACTCTCTGCTTTTCAACACACAGTCCTCTCACAGTCCTCTCACAGTCCTCTCACAGTCCTCTCACAGTCCTCTCACAGTCCTCTCACAGTCCTCTCACAGTCCTCTCACAGTCCTCTCACAGAAACAATTTAAAGGGGAAGTTAAGGCAAAAATCAAAATTTCACCAGTTGTTGTCTTCGGGGTGCTGAGTCGAATGGTCGTGGTTCGAGGAAGCTGAGACGCTCCCTTCCTACTTGAATCCCAATCGAACTCGCGCACTTCCACCGAAACTGGCTGACTGCGCAGTACAAGATGGGGATTTGTATGCAACATGTCACTAAAGGCGCCATTTCGTTCTTATAAAAGCATGGATGACCGCGATTGGCCCATATGTTGTAGTCTTTCGGACGCTGAGTCGATTGGTTTTGGTCCGAAAAGGCTGCGATGCAGCGTTCCTCCTTTATTCCCAATCAAACATGGTTGAACAAGCGGTCCCGTGCTCCTGCGTACACCAGTCACCTGGTCACCGTGCCTGCAGGGTACAACTTACTAGCCTGTTTGACCTTTTTTGGGTGCAGTCCTGTCACTCGAGTTGAACTCGAGTTGAACCTTGGTGTGAAAGTTGTCGCCTGCTGGCGTGGAGACCAGGTGATTTGGGCACCCAGGAGCACGTGACCGCCATGTTCGATTGGGAATAAAGAAGGAACGCTGCATCGCAGCCTTTTCGGACCAAAACCAGTCGACTCAGCGTCCAAAAGACTACAACATATGGGCCAGTCGCGGTCATCCATGCTTTTATAAGAACGAAATGGCGCTTTTAGTGACATTTTGCATACAAATCCCCATCTAGTAGGGCGCAGTCACCCAGTTTCGGTGGAAGTGCGCGAGTTCGATTGGGATTCAAGTAGGAAGGGAGCGTCTCAGCTTCCTTGGACCACGACCATTCGACTCAGCACCCCGAAGACTACAACTGGTGAAATTTTGATTTTTGCCTTAACTTCCCCTCAATGTACTAGTAGACAATGCAGGCGCGTGTACATGAACATGACAAATTAAGGTCAGCGTGGGACTCGGTTGAATTCAGCGTGCAAGTACTATAGTATAGTTGACAGAAACTGCGTCATACGGGGATAGTTTTACGGGTTTAGGTCTAGAAGTTGGTGGCGCACACGCACAAATACTGACACACACACAAATACTGACACACACACAAACACACTCACACACACATACTCACACACACACACACACACACACACACACACACACACACACACACACACACACACACACACACACAAACACACACACACACACACACACAAACACACACACACACACGTGCCCACGCGCCGATAAGCATGTCCAGAGTGACGTACGTGGACGACAGCCGTTGGTAGCTGAGCGGTGTGCTTGGCAGATACTTCACCTGGTGGACGATGATCCTCATCGGCAAGAGAGCATCCTTCACCTTGTCCGTCAGTAGTGTGCCACTATTCAATGCCATGTGCACACCCACACTCTTCAGGCCGGCAATCTTGTTGTGTATGCAAGCACCGGGGGCAACACCGCGA